TGTAGCTCAGTGGCAGTGCACTTGCCTAGCATGTGTGAGGCACTGAGTTTTACCCTTAGCACCACATAAAATCAAATACATAAAAATAAAAGTATTGTGTCCATCTACAACTAAATAAATAAAAGAATATTTTGCCCTTCCACAGAAAGTTAGAACAGTGCTAGAAGCTTTAAGTATTATGATTATCTGAAAACATATTTAAGGTTAAACACAGTGGGAGGATTTTTATATCATGGGAAGATGTTTTATTATGATAACTTTATTAACCTGAAAATAAGAGGCAGTGACACATAGTAACAAAGCAGTTCAGGGATAGGGTTCGAATTCCAAGTCTTTAGATATGTAACTGTAAGTCTCTGAACTTCAATTTAAATATTTACAACACTTTCTTTAGCAGGACTTGTGCAGAATACAATAAATATTATCATTTATGCATAAGAAGTCAGAAACAAAGTTATCTATATTTAATTTGCTATACAATTCAATTAATAATGTTATAATCCCTTCTATAATAAAATATAATATTTTATTTTGTATTTAATTTTAAAGTGTGATTCATAACTACTTTCCTTTTAAAACAGTATTTATATTTAATTTAGAAGATTAAGCAACAAGGTATTTGACCCTGTGAATGAAGTAGTAAGCAAACACTGAGCAGGTAAATAAAATGTTATTTATAATTTTAGTATATCTCCTGACAAAAAAGAAAAAAATAATATTGTAGAAAAAAGCCACTGTCATGTTTCATTATGCTTTTCAAGAAGCATTAACAGTCTATAAAATTTAGCATGTACGACTGTGTGGTTTACTTATAAAGGTGCTTTTTAGATGGAGACTAGGGAAAAGGTAAACGCTAAAAAAGCACTAGGGCACCTTAAAATGTAAATCAAAGAGCCTTAGCTAGTAGGAGCATTTTAGCAACACTTAAGGACCTCAAGGACAGACATTATTTTATTGTTATTTCCAATAAATACTGATGACATATCATTTGTGAAGATGAGTCTGACAAATATTTTCTTTCCTCTGCTCGATGTGTCAAGGGGAGGGTTGGATACAATAGTTTTGCTTGAAAGTATCCAAATAACAGAAACCAAACTCTCATGCTTCCTTGACTCTGTGGCATTCTTGACCTACTCAGACACATTGGACAAACTGAAGCTACTCATAACTACCTTTAGAATCCTAACTAACTTTTGAAACCTAGGTCAATGACACACGTCTGTTTTGCTCTTCCTTGTTTCCAATATCCATTGCATTCCTTGCCTTTCTTGAGCTACAGCCCTTGCATGTTTTTGTTTGTAGCCTCTTGAGTTGTGAGCACCACAGCAAAAGAAACTCTCAAATCATCATCTGTCTTCCATGGTATCTTACAGCGGGCTGTAGTAAAACTAGTTCTGGGGTGTGTGATTACAATTTATAATAATTTCCCTGTGATATGAAACACAAAATCCCAGACATCATCACTCCACCTTCTTTTCCCATTTAAAAAAAAAAATGTTTGATCACTGCTGTGGATGTAGCTTAGTGCTAGAGCATGTGCTCAGCATGCATAAGGCCCTAGATTCAATGCCCAGAACACTCCCCCCACCCCCCAAAAATGTTTGGTCAATTTAATCCAATATTTATAATACAATTCTTCTTTATCTTTCCTAACATTTTACTTCTCAGGCTGCAAAGTCAGGGATGGAGATAAATTTGTAACAGTTACCCTTTCATACAGGTTGTGGAAAGACTCAATGTATTTCAGATCTTGTTGTACTTTGTATTTGGACATGTCATTTTGAGTAGTAATAAAATCATGTTTAAAATTTCTGTCTCAAGATATTTCTACCAAGGAAGTGTAGTGAGAGGAGGAGCATTGGGAATAGAATTCCATGGTGGGTGGGTGCCCAACTGGAGACTGTTGCTGAGGAGAGAGACAGTGGATGTGTATACATAGTCCTCTAGAGGATTTAATAAAAAAAAAATAGTAAAAAGGAAGGCAAGATTTTGCCACATTTGGTCAATAAACACCAATTATCTTGTGATTTTCCTCCTTCCCTCCTTCTTTTCCTTTCTCTTTCTCACTCTATCGAGTCCCCTACTAAGTCCCATAAAACATTTCATTTTCTCACTTTGGTTACCATTACCATATTATAATATTTTGTTATCAGGTGAACTAAATAAAACACAAACGGCTGACTTTGGGGGATTTAGTAGCTATAGACAGAAGACACCAGAGATGAGCTTCTAATGAACCATTAGTGAAAGCAAGGGTAGAGGAGCACAATCTATCCTTAGGGACTTGAGAAGACAGAGAAAGTGAACCAAGAATTGAGAGAAGAATTCAGAATCTGTATCCAAGTGAAAGACATTTCCTCTTGGTCAGGATAGCTAAGACAATAGAAAGCAATAAGTTTCAGTCATCAGGTTAAGCAGTATAGACGCATTACTCAGAAAATTCCATCTCTAGCCAAAATGTTGTTTAAAAGGTATCATCTGAACAAAGCCATTTTACCACACGTCATTCCATAGAGTTAGAGTGGCTAATCTAAATTTAAATGAAATATTTCTAAAACATCAAATTCTTCAGTAGTTATAGCTCATCAATAATGCAGATGGGATGAAGGGAAACTATTTTGAAACAAGTTTACATAGCAGGACACTTTATTCATGTACTTGAACTAACGGCCAAATTTTCAGTTATATGCTTATCATTATTAGCCCTGCCAAATATTAAAAGACATTAGCGGGGAAAATATTGAGGTGATTTCATAACTGCCTAGGAATTCAAATTTTCCAGCTTATAAACTGAGTCATAGTAGCATTCTTTGTGAACATTTGGTTACAAAATAAGTAGCCTAATATGTAATTAGAAGTATTTTTTCTTAGTAGTTCATTTTTTCTTTAGTATATTACACATTATTAGAAATCTACTTTCATGAACTTATCCGATTCTCCCCAATGAAAGTAATATAGTTTTATATTTAATCAATGCATAGATCTATCAGTTATGAAAAAGTGTTTCTATTACAAAAAGTGAATACAGGGTAATTACTGTAAAGGTCTGTTTTATAATTTGTGAAGTTCATATTCAAGTCATTTCTACATTGACTTTTCATTTTTTTTCTGCCAAACTTTAGTTGTTAACATATATTCCTTTGCTATAGATTGATGCAAAAAATTTTAGACTATAAAATTCATTAATAAAAATAGCTGAAGAAGTTAAAAGTTATTTAATGACAAATATTTTAAAATAGGTTGATAGCAACTTTCTTTTAAATACTGAAATCATACACAATTTTCAAATTTACTTGAAAAAATCAGTAGCTTTTGGAATATGAAATGAATACTACATTTAGAGTCTTAGTTTAAATACACATTTAAATAAAGTTTGTGTTTTTTGCATGGAAAATGGTCCTATATAATTTGAAACACTACATTTTCATACTTTTAGGAGGTATATAATGAAGATTAAATGACTTTAATAATTTAAAAACATTTTAGCATTAAAAAATAGACTGTTTGTTTTTCATCTTGTTTTTTTCCTTAACTAGGTTGTTGTTGACCTTTTTGCTTAGGCAATGATAAATTTCACAACTAAGAAAAAGTTTCCTAGTGATTTATGTTTGTTGCAAAATAACATAGTTGGTTCGCTCTGCAGTCAAAGATGAATTTATTCACTGCTTGGAAATACTTTATTCAGGTCAAAGTTATGTCAAAGAACTGTAACTTTCATATTATATGTGAAATCTACAATTTGTAAATATAATTCATGTATGTACTTGCATTTACATTAAGAGAATAGAGTTATATAATATAACAGTATGTTTTCCTGTCTTATACCCTAAATTTAAAAAATAAGTCTACTTAACACATTAATGTATGAAACTCAGACTTTCAGCAGTAAAATTTAACTTCCAGAATCAAAAGACTTCCCAAAGGACTTTAAAGCATGGAAAGAAAGAATGATTTTTGTTTCACAAGATGTTATTTATTTTTAGTTGAAATACAAGTATACACTGCTCACTTTCAACATTATTTCTTTATCTTCCTACTCTAAACGTCTTCCTATTATTACCTACTACCACCAGAGGTCTTACTTTAAAGAAAAAATAAATCTGCAAAACCTCATCTGTCAAACTGCTTTATGTGGTCCAAAAATTAGGTGGGCAGATTAGTAGCTATGCTTTCCACAAAGAAGATGGGGCAAAAGAGACACACAATAGAGCTTTACTCAATGCTCTAGTACTATCTTTCCAGCCTGTGTGTTCTATTAGGTTCCACAGACTCAACATGGGATGTCTACTTAACCCACAGTGATATCACAGGGGGAAATTACTGGATTAGATGAGCATGAGGAGTTAGTTTATTTTTTTCAAACCTCATTTTCTCTTATAAACAATAAATATTCCAAATTCTCAAGTGTGTAGCTTTGTGTTTGGAGACTTCTAAATTGTTAGAGGGAAAATGGATAAATACTTTAGAATAAACAGTTCTTTTTGTATGCTTGTATTTTACTCATTGTGAAAATAATTAAGGCAGTTAAAATAATTAATAACCTATCATAATACAGACTATTTTTCAGAGGTTCTGAAACATAAACAAATAATTTTAGAATATATGAGTATATGCAGCTTGATGGAGAGTAGTATATATTATATATATGTAGTATATAATATAGTATTCAAGTAGTATATTTTCTGTGAGAAGAGATAATCTCACGTCTAAAGCAATCTAATTATTCTTTGGAATAGTTTGCTATTCTTTGAGATTAACAACTGCAGTTTTTGAGTATTTATTACATCCAGTCTTATGTGAAGATAAAAAGAAGTAGTATTATTCTAGAGACTATGATAATTAAGGAAGTAACAAAACTTTGTAATTGCTGAATTCTGTTTCCTTAATATCTTTTTTCAATGAAAATATCCTTAAAGATATGTAAACTAAAGAGCCCGAAGAACCAATACAATTCAAGAACAAAAGGAAATTGTTTCTTGTGATATGAAAAAATTACTCACCTTTGTGGAATATAGAACATATGTTGAGGAGGTGGTTTATAAAGGACTCCTTCATACACAGGCCAGAGCCCACTTAAAATTCTGAAGAGAGAACTTTTCCCACAACCATTGGGACCAGTTATCAAAAGATGCATTCCTTCTTGTACCTAAAGTCAGAGATAAAATTACAAACTGCAGCATTTAAAAATGATTTATTTTTAAAAAATATTGAATTATACAATTACCTTGTATGGGAAAGAAATTGAAGAAAAAATATGAGGATGAGAACAGCAAGTTTGGGGTTGACTGTTCTCTAAAGCTAAAAGCATCATAAAATAATAATTTAATTACAAAGAAAATGGATCTTCTTGGAAGGACTACTGGCTTTCCAACATTTTAATTGAGGTCTTGTAATCACATACATGCATGCAGAGAAATATGATCATATTAGAAATAAGGTAAATCATAAAATTTAAATAAGTTGATTAAGTTTCATCTTATTTATATTAATATTTGATAAAAATTAAGCAAAATTTAAGTACAGCTGAACATCCGTATGCTATAAAGTAGTTATCTGAAGAGTCAGCTGCATTGCTTAATTTTGTACTTCAGAAGTCTGAAATGTTACAGAAATCACAAAAACCCATAATCAGAGTAAGAAGATGACTCTAATTCTGCTTTATTCACAGATGTAGAAAATATGTTTGCCAAACAAAAACAGAGGAAGCAAGAGAATTGTAATTTAGTCTTATGTCTATGATGAATTAGAGCATATGTACTTGGCCCTCCATATTCACAGTTCCATTTCCAAGGATTGAACTAACTGTGGACTAAAAATATTTAAGGGAAAGAAATTGCATCTGTATTGAACATGTGCGTAATTTTTTCTGTACACCATTTTGTATAAAGAACTTGAGCATCAGCACATTTCGGTATCCACAAGGGGTCCTAGAAACCGATCCCTTGAGGATACTGAAGGACAACTGCATATATACATATATTTTTTTCATCCTCTTTACATATATGAATATTCCATACAGTGTATTAATAAAACAAAAGTTATTTATCTATTATTTCTTAGATGCTTTCCTTCACTTCTTATGTTACTTATGATTCAAATTTATACAGTTACATTTCATTAGTTCCCATTTCATTCAACAGGATGTAGGTGTTGTTTTACCATAGTATTTAAAAGATATTGTAAAGAACAAGGAATAGGAGGAATACCACTTAAAATCTGATTTAATTTTCCTAAGAACAAATGATGTTTTATAATCAGCAATAAAAAAAGAATACAATATGAATGTATGAGAAGCAGAAATCTATAGCCTGTCTATATATGTAGCTTTGTATTCAATTAATACAAATATTCAACTAGCAATAATATAGAACACATGACTCTGAAAATTCAAAAATGAAAAAGCCTTATATTGCTAGCATCCCAAGAAAATCCTGGGAACAACCTGGAAAAAATAATTTTATAATTTTTTTGCATTCTTTTTCTAGAGAGATTAAGGAAGTTTAATTTTGTGGAAGCATACATAATTTCCGAATAATTTTTTAAAGGCACATCTGATATAAGTGAGAAGCATAATTCACAAAATATTTAATAAGGCCTTTTGCTATTTTCTATTAGGTATTCTCAGAAAATTAATGCTTTTCATTTGAGAAGTAACTGAAGACTTTGTACTTTAAGATTAATATTTTCTAATGCAAATTCTCTGATGCTTAGTTAACAACGAATGTGAGGCAAAAAGTTTCACACTTACTGAATTTTCTTCTGCAAATGATATTTTAATTTTAAAAGTCAATAAAAGGATGAAAATTGTTTCCTTTAGAAACCTATTTACTTTTTAATCCATATAAAAGAAAAAGAAATTTCTATCATAATTTTAGGGACTTGAGAATTCAAATATAACTCTACAACTCATAAATAATTACCCAAAATACATACTATAATAATTCAATTTTTTGTAGGAATGCAAAATTTATAAGATTCTCCCTCTAGGTGAAGTAATTTTAGTTCATTTTATATAAAAGAAACTAAGCTCTGACTGGGTGCAGTGGGGCAAATGCCTGTAATCCCAGCAACTTGGGAGGCTGAGGCAGGAGGATCATAGTTTTTCAAGACCAGTCTCAGCAATTTAGGGAAGCCCTCAGCAGCTTAGCAACACTCTGTCTCAAAACAAAAAATAAAAGTCTTAGGATGTAGTTTAATACAAAACAACAACAACAACTGAGCTCTGAATTTTTCCACAGTGTGTGATGGTTCCATAATAATGTAGTTAGTAAGTGAAAGAATTCAAGGCTTGAACTCTATTTATTTGATAAATAGAGCAACAAAAAGTGATATTAGAATACCCAACTAAAGGGAAAAAAACTATACAAAAGCCATAAATTATAAATTGCCAAACTATTAATAGATCATCAATCATTCTGTATATAACATGAATAATAGATACAATATAAGAAACTGTTAATAAAATCACTCCACAGGTATACAAGTGGAAAATAAAGACTGACCAAATTATAGTTAAAAATATAATTTCTTTTATATTATTAACTTATGATTTTTCCCTGTTCAGTACATCTCATTTCTTTTCAACTCTAGTAACCTCATTTGCGATTATATCTTTGATAAATAAACCTGAAGTCCATTCTAAAATCATTAGCACATGTATTGTGATGTTTCTAATTTGATTATCAAGTCCAATCATATCTTTGAAATAAACTCAACAGGTTGCATTACAGTCACTGAATTCCAAAATGTATGTTTGAATTTTACGATGCTTTAAATGAGGATCTCAGATATTTTGCATACTTTCATATCTCAGTTTTGGTAATTAAGACATAGGATATTACATAATTATTGTCAATAGAATTAAAAATTAAATTTGAAGCTGTGACTCTTCTGCATATTTTTTTGTTAATAGTAAATGTGATTTTTTTAAAGTAGAATGTAAAGTTACAGAATGTGTATTAGAATTAAACTTGCTAATGACATCTATCCCCAATTATTAGGAAATATGCTACAGTATAGTCTTGTATGTTTAAGTAATTTCTGTAAAGAATAAATTAAAATTTATTTTAATCCCAGATACTATTTCTGGGGAAGTTTCCTATTGTTTCCTAAAGTTATCTTGTATAGGCTTTCAGTGCACTGTAATTTTGATTTTAAACCTGATAATAAAGCAGTAGAAGTCATATCTCTTTTCTCCCTGCTTTCTGAGGAAGTAACTGCTTCTGTAACTGAGCCACTGTGCATACCTTTCTTGATTTCCCCTCTTTTCCATATGCTCCTCCAAGTATTTAACATAAGGTACATGAATTCTGAGTTGTTTTGTATTAGTGTGATGGCAACAATCAGAAGATTCTTGAATATCATCTTACTTTGAAGTTTAGCCTGGAAGCCACCACTTCTCCAGCCGGAGTAATTATGGGAACATTTTCACAAATAATTCCATGATCCACATCAATAACTTTTCCTATAATTAAAGAATAGTTTTAATTATAAAAGCTATCACATGTTACTGCTTATTAAATAAGTTAAAGTACAATGCAGAGAAACTGGTAAAATCATAAAGATAGTTCACAGTAATAAATTATAGAAAAAAATACAAAAAATCTCTATATGTGAAGCAAAATTTAAATTTATATATTTTACATGTCTTTTAGAAAATCATTCTGAGAAACTATTTTATAATAATCTAATATTGATATCATCATGAAAGCATAGCCAATCTTAATCTGATATAACCTACCCATAGATTTCATGCCTACTTTGTTTCCCTAAATTAACCTTTTCTAAAGAAAAAAATACATAATGGAAAAAAGAAAAAAAGGAATTGAAATAATATATTTTAATACATGACAATCAAGTTTAAAAACATGGGACAATGAAAAATTATATGACATTATTTCTAATTCTATTTGTTAAATTTTTAAAGTAAACAGTTATGCCATATGTTCTGTTTCCAAATATAATTCTGGAAATCTTTCTCTAAATAAAAGCAGCACAACATTGTTTTCTTTTATGCAGTGTTAGTCACTATCCCTCAAGTTGCAGCACCAATTTTAGAGATAGTTGTTTAAATAATGTTGGTTATATGAATGTTAGTTCCTTCTAACTATTAAAAACTAACTTCTGAAAAAAAAAACTTTGGCTCTATTGATAAAATAACACTTAACTATAGAGAAATTATCAAAACATGAGTTTAATACCTTTGATTGCCCGAGTGTCAGTTAGGGGTAATTCTATGTTAGCACCATTCTTGCTATGGTTTTCAGACTCTTGAATGACAGCAGTTCTTTTATAAATGCCCCTTTTTACTTCATCGAAGACCCAAAACATATTGTACACTCGAGTAGTATATCCTGCTAATTCAGTTATCTAAATCAATAGAGACAGGTAAAACAGAGTTAATATGTTCAAGATGGACTCTTAAATAAATATGTAATCATACAAGGTTCTTGGTTTAATATTAAGGATTCTATACTAAGATATTTAAGAAATAGATAGTACCTCTGATAACTAAAACAAATGACAGTAAAAAGCTTACCAAAAAAGGAATTTTAACAATATCATTATGAAAGCACAGCTATGAGGTAGGTTAGGGCAATATGGTAAGATCTTACTGTAAGTTTGACTGGAATTATAAAAGAAAAAAATTTTAATTCAAATCAGGTTCAACCTGAAATGTGAAGATTTCAGAATATTTTGAGTTATAAGGATCTTTTAGCCAAATTTCAGATTTGGCCCCTGGTTTTGTGATGAATTTCATTTCCAGAAAATTAGAAATTTTGTTAATGAAATGACAACCCTTTATCTTTGCTGTCTTTTTTCTATTTAAAATAGAAAATTTTAAATAGAAGGTAAGTACTTTTTCATTATTATAAAATGAATGTTTCTGAGTCAAAATTTATTGTTAAAATTCCTTTTTAGACAGAGAAATATCTGTGCTAGAGGATACCAGTTTTGAAAGTGATCTCAGTGCAAGGCTTCCAATCCTTTTCAGTACAAATCCCACAATCCAGTTTCTTTTCAAGTTAAACATGATTTATATGTCCAAGAAAAAAAATCAAATATATTATTTTTTTCTAGGTAAGATTTTAAGATGAAATGAGATAAATCTCTAATTTATTCCATAAAGCTTAACAGAAAGGTGCTTTGCTCCTGTATTCTGCCAACTGTCCAATCTGGGTTAACCTCCTGATATTTTTCTATGAAGACAATACTTGTTATCAGGGTTCTCTAAAATGTGACTCATTTCCTATCTAGACCATTTTTTTTCCTCAATGAAAAAGATAACACAAACATTGGGCAATTGTTCCTAATAAAGAAAGCATGTCACTAATAAAGGTATGTTAAATAATAGCTTGCGAAATAATACAACGCTGACATTTGATTAAGATTTTTATATGTGCAAAAATTAAGCTATAAATGAGTATTATGGTTAAAAACCTTCTACTTAGTGAGAAGTTTGTAATTACATGGGTATTTCATTTCTATAAATTAATGTTATAGTTATTTCAACAATAGTTTCTAAAATGTTATCTAGAGGAAATTGTTGAATTCCAAAATGGAGAAATACAAAAGTAAAGATTTATAAAATATGGATTCAAAAGAAACATGGGTAAATATAAACATTTGCATAGAAAAAAATTTCAAAACCAAAATTAGAGGGTAATTAAAAACGGGCAGAAGGTTAGTACACTTGGATAGAGGGTAGAATTGGGCAGGGAGTGCATGGAAAAAAATAAGAATGTACCTTCGGATAAATTACTTTGGGATTCCAAACAAGGGATTTGTCTTAGATTCCTGTCTGTATAAAGGAAACTTGGTTCCTCTGGAGCTAGCAGAGAAGGCGTGGTGATTTTATATGCTGTCCCAGCAGATGGGACATTTTTTGGGGGGCGGGGGTGTAACTACCTGGGATTAAACTCATGGGCACTCAACCACTGAGCCACATCCCAGCCCTATTTTGTATTTTATTTAGAGACATAGTCTCACTGAGTTACTTAGCACCTTGCCATTGCTGAGGCTGGCTTTAAACTTGTGATCCTCCTGCCTCAGCCTCCAGAGCTGCTGGGATTATAGGCATGCACCACTGTGCCCAGCTCAGATGTAACTTTTCTAAGAAGTAGAAATTCCATGATTTGAAGCAAATGCAGGCAAAATAAAGCAAAATGTAGTCATTTGTTGAGTTGGAGATAATCTAGAAAGGCTAAATGATGTCTTTTCTGTGACTTAAATAGCAGTGTATTTTAATGTGACATGAACAACATTTTTATTCACCATTTAATTTTAATGTTAAGTATTTTTGTTACTTAATATTAAAGTGAAATAAAGTAAAAGTCTATCCCCAAAACTAGGTATCTATAATGCTGAAATTAGTATTTGAATTTTTTTAAAAAAAAATTGAGCTCTTTTGATATGTGTTGCTGAACTACTGCTTTTACTTAAAAAATTTTACTTCTGTAAGGACAACACAAAATTTGTAAATCTACTATATAGGTATTTATGACTAATTTAGTAGACAGCTAAACTTGTAATGATGTTTTAATGATATATATTGATAAGAAAGCCACAAGGAATATCTGAATTTAGTAAAATAATTTTAATATTAACTCTGTGGTATTTATAGGTCCTTTTACCATTCTTTCAACAATTTATTAATCAAATCAACAAATACAAGTACCTCTTTGTATGAAGACATAATCCCAAGCACTAAAATGAATATTATGAATGTAAAGATGAGTCAGACAGTCCCTGCTTTCAAGGAGCTAAAGATCTGGTATAGGAGAAAGACAATATTAATGTATTCAAGCACCAGTCATGCAGAGGTAAAAACAGAGAAGAAAGCCCAAACTCTGCAGGGAAGACAGAAAAAAGATGGAATCCCAAGAAGATTTTAAACATGGCTGGTGAAAGTTCATTAATGAAAGATGGATACATTTTTCAAAATATATACAACATTATTAACTAGTATTTATGAGAACTTAATATGCATTTTCTTGAATTTTTACATGTATTACTTTGCAACAAACCTACAAAGTCAGTACTATTACTATCTTCATTTTACAGAAAAGGAAATAAAGACACAGAACAGAGAAATTAAGGAATTTGATCAAGGTCACATAATGCATAAATGCTGAAGTGAAAATGTAAATTTAGTCACTCTGGTTCCAGAGTCCATATCTGAGGGATTTTTTTTTTTTTTTGTGGTGCTTGTGATTGAACCCAGGCAGGGTCTATTAAAAATTATGCAAGTGCTCTACATCCCAGCTATATCCCAGCACTTTGAGGGATTTTTTTAAAAAATTAAAAATAGATATGTCATACTAGAGATAGAATTCTCTATTTCTAAAAAAGGAGGAGTAACAAATAAAGGATATTAGCAACAGCACCCTTGAGAGTTTGTCTTTAACTTTGATGATATTCTTTTTGAAGTTTTTCGTAAAGATATGTTTCCAAGATACTATAACAACCTGGTAATGTACATATTGCTTGATTTTTATATGTTGTATCTTATTTTAATAAATTGAAGAATACAAGTACCTCTTTGTAAGATGACATAATCCTTTCAATAGCATCAGCTCCAGAAGCCAATAAATTTCGAGCAGTGGTAAAGGCTTCTGTCCGTTCACTAACCATAGCTTGCTTCTGACCATCTTCTTGATCTAAAATCAAATTACAAAACAATTGAGTTTTTCAAGTAACTAAATGTCTTATTCTAAACCAATTATGGATAACACAATGATTAATATCTCATTAGTATCAGCAATTTTCTAGACATATAATGAATTATTAAAAATATAGTATCTGTACCAGATTTTATTGGAAACTTCCTTTTATTTTACTATTTTTTTTAGGAGAGCTAGGACAACTACATCTATAGAAACTAAGACTATTTTCACTTAGCTCTCTTTCAAAGCTTTTCATATCTAACTCTGTCATTATGACCCCACAGCAATAAAATACAAGTGATCTGGTCAATAAATACCACTAATTTGAATATAAACAAGTTTTATGTTGTGGTTTCTTTAACATAAATGCAAATTAGCTGGCCTTCATAATTAGACTCTACCTTTCTTATGCATCCCTTATCTTACTGTTCAGCTGTATCCCAAACATGCCATATTCTTAATCCTCTGATTGTTTATGCTCTATCAGTTAAAGCACTAAGAATAGTTTTGGTTTATAGAGAATCTGTCTGATGGCCTAAAATAATTATGGGATTTTATGAATTTGGATTAAAGGTAGCTTTCATTGAAAATCTCTGTTAAGAAGAAAAAGAACATTTGCACAAATAACTGGTAGTTGATATGGAATGGTAATTTCCATGTTACTTTGGCAGATTAATGACTATTGGGTTTTGTTCACACTTTTAGTAATAAAATAACAAATAGTTTCCCAGAGATTGTATTTGACTTTTTTATTCTACTGGTTGTTCTTTGGAAGGTACTGTGAAGGGAGTATCAGTAATATTTTGTCATGCACTTAGCAGCCAACTGCCTGACCTCTATGACAAGGTTAGATTCCTTAGTGTCAGGGATAAATCCATGGTTGAAAATATTGGCCTATTTTGTATGTTAGGTTAACATATTTTATTTTCCTCACTAAATATTTTAGCTATTTGTAAAAAAAATTCTCATTTAAGGATTTATATTTAGTTTTATATATGCTTGTTTTACTACTCCTAAATTCTGAGAGTATTAGGTATATAAAAGTGGTCACATCTCTGGTCTGGCTATTTCACTGAGTGGATAAGAAAGGATTTTAAAGTTAAGGTTATGTAATCATACATAGATCAACACCACTAGAAATATACAATATAGAGTGATTCCTAATGTAAATTATGGATTTTAGTTAATAATGTATAAATATTGGTTTATCAGTTGTAATAAATGTTCCATATTAGCACAAGATATAAATAAGAGCAAAAACTACTAGAGGGAGAGGGTATTTTGAGAATTGTGTACTTTTAAATAAATTTTTGTAAACCTAAAACTTTTATAAAAATAAAAGTATATTAACTTAAAAAAAATCTAAAGTTAACATTACTCTTCTTACTTCTCTTAAAGTCTAAGTTTATTTATTTCCATTTATTTTTATCTTTGTCATCTTGACAAATCTCAACAAAACTTTTTATCCCTAACCTTCTTCATACCATATATAAATATCAATTCTAAATAAATTGAAGATCTCAATGTGAAATGAAAAGCCAATGAAATTTCTAGAAAATAAAAGAATATATTTATGATGTTGGGTTATGCAAATATTTCTTAAATAGGACATGAAACTACTAACCACAGTGAAAGATAGGTTAAAATCATGAACTTCTCTTGAACATTGTTAAAAGACTGAAAAGGTAAGACATCAGGTGTAAAAAGATACTTGAGATTATGTGTATGTGTGTACATACATATATATATATATATTATATTTATATGCATATCTGACAAAAACATTACATATTTCATTAGATTGATTTACAAATCAATAAGAAAAAACAAATAAACCAAGTTAATAATAAGCTAAAGATTTAGAGGCCTTCATAGACAGGACACCAACAAAGAGAACGTGCTTAACTTCAATTGCCATCAGAGAAATGTAAATTAAGAGCATAGTGAAATACCACTGTATACTCATGACAATGTCTATAAAAAAAAGACTGACAATAACAAACATTGACAAATACGTGTATGAACTAGAATTCTCATAAACTGATGATTGGTATGTAAATTGGAAGCACTTCTTTGGGAAAATGTTTAACAAATTTAGGAAATCTGAACACATACATAGCCTGTAATCAACCAGTCCTGGTCCTAGGTAAGTACCAACAGAAATGCATAAATTCACTAAAAAAAATTTACAAAAATGTTTATATCACTACTATTATCCTCAAAACCAACATCATCAAAACTGGATACAGTCCAAATGTCTACCAACAATAGAATGGATAAAGTGGTATAGACATAATATGATATACTATAAAGCAGCGAGTATGTCTTCAATATGTATTGATAATTATTGCTATGGTAATTGTTCAACAGAAGTGGAATTATATTCAAATTGATCCAAAATATAAAATGATATTTCAGTAATTTGACATCAGAACATGAGACAATACAGCAGGAGCTATGGATATAATCTGTCAAAGGTAAATTTAGGAATAAAAATGTTACCCATGGTACTAAGTACAGAATTTAGTTTGATTTCTGGGAGAAGTGTCTCTCAGTTGCTACTTCTGATGTTCCACCTCACACTCACATCACAAGCATGTGGACACAATTGGAAGAGCAAGTAGCTTAGGTGCTCTTTTCCTCAGGTGGCAGGTGTCTGTGATAAAGTATGTCAAAAGGGAACTATAAGTATCTTTTCCTGGCCTTGTCCAGAACTGCTTTTGATATAAAGAGAAGAAAGGGCCTACTAATGAAAAGAAATATGGAGATTATACCTTTTAGGTAATTATTTTGTTCACATAATTTATCTTTCTCTTAGTACAAAGAAAATGAAAGAGGCAATGTTCTTTAAAAATAATAGAATAGAACCTCTACATAATTAACTACTTCACTGTCTCTTTTTCAACCATTGGAACTCACAATTACTTGATCTCAAACTTACTCAAATCCCTTATTAAGTTTTAATGTAGTGAATATGGAGGTAGCATGGTACAGGAGAAAAAGGCAGTGGGCTAGGGGTATATAATGCCTCCAATTCTTAGTGCTTTGATCTTAAGCAAGGCTGGGGCTCTAGACTACAAGATCTAAGCTACTTTTCTGATGTGAAAATGGCACGTTCTACATGCAATACTGTAATGTGAACTTGTATACAAACATAATACTGTTGTACCATAAAATTTCACTAAAAATTGACGTACAGAAAATGTACCACAAAACTGTTTTTCTTTTCTCCTCTAACAACAATTATGCAGGTTCTTTCCCCTATCCACAATTTAACCTTTGACTTCATAATTAATTTGATATTCTTTGCTCCTTTAAACAGTAACATTAATCACATTGTCAAATACCAATTGAGCATTTTTTTATGAGCCAGGCACTGTTCTGAGTTTCACATATGTGCTTTTCCTTAACCCTCATAACAACCCTGCACATTTCCCCTGTTTGGATATGAGGAAATTGACACACAAAAAGTTAAGAGATTTTCCCAAGGTCAGAGCCTAGTAAACAAAACTTCCACCATCTGAACCCAGGCAATCTGACATGAGAACTCAAAAGATACAAATAAAATAAATAACAATTGTTTCCACTCAAATTTTACTACTTACTAAGGGCTGTTTCAAAGCACATTAAGTACATTGCATATATTTTCATAACAATTCTGAACAATGTATATTAGCATCCCTATAGTTAAGACAGGAACACTAAGACCTATAAAGTTTATGTAATTTTCCCACGTATGGATAACTATTAAACAGCAGATGACAATTTGAACACTAGGTCTGGTCTGCTTTCTTTTTCCTATTCTATTCTTTCCCCTCTATCCTACTTTTTCTTTTTTCTATTCTCCCATTCACATATTTTCCCCACCTTCTTTTGCCTTAAAACATACAGCATCATTCATCTTTAAACTAAAGGACAACTAAAGAATTAAGTGTAAATTAATACTAAAAAGTAGATTAGGAAATATGGTATGTATTTCCAAGAACTAAAATCCCAAAGACATATCACTATATATGAAAAAAATTCTCGTCTGAGTGAAATATTTCACATTAAGTTACCATATGTCAAAAATACTTAGTAAATTTATATACATATATATGCATTCATGTGAACATACATATAGATATTACAGAACCTTAGATGTACAGAAGAGTTTGAAACATAATATTCTGTCACATGATTTCATTTTTTCTTCTATGAAAAGTTTACATCCTTTTCCTCTGTATAAAAATTTTCTTTGGGAACCAACTTTAAGAAATACTTTTTCATTTGCATCAGTGGAATTATCATTGTAGTTTCAACCTAAAATAATATTCCTTTAATATGGCATTTTTCAGGATTTTTAGGATTTATTTTTAAATATCTTTTTATGTCTTGCTAACTGGCCTTGTTAGACTCCTCATATACATTGTTTACCTTTTTACTGGTCTCTGTGGGGTTAATTTGTCACCATTAATAGCTGCATTTTCACTGTTCTCTGTTGAATACTCCAGGGTTTTCTAGTAAGACCAAACACTGCTGACAGAACTACACCATAATCCTGTCATTGGGATTGTCTCTAATATATATTATATGTAAAACTTTAAAATAAGTATTATTATTGTGATGAATAAATTTTTAATGAATATTTTGCCAGATTCCTTAATAAAACTAATCTTATGGCCACAGGTTTTTAACTGCTTTTTTTCTTTTGTACTCTTTTGAAAATGTAGTTATTTCATTATGAAAAGATTATGTTTAAAACACTATTACTAACAATACCATTTTTCAATATAAAAATTTTTGGGGATCATTTTGGGGTAAAGTTTGAAAACATAAAAACAGATAAAATCAATTCCTTCAGTGGTCTAAATATACTGTCAGGTAGTTTAGTTGTGTAGTCTATTAGGTATGTATATAGCACTTACCATAAAGAAGAACTTACACATATAGTTTACTAAATAATTTTCTAAAAATTGTTTACTAACATGAACATTTTTAGGTTAAGAATGACTCAAATTTGACAAGTGTTTTTGTAAAATTGGTTAAAGCACTGAAACACTGTTTTAAAATATTACAGATTATATATTTTTATAGCTTGCTTTAAGCAAAGAACTATTAATCCTTAATTTTATACCATAAGTATATATAAAATAAGGTGAATCCTGCTATATTTTTCTTCACAGATGCCAAGTCACTTACATAAAGTGATGTAGTAATTGCATATAACTTACATCTTCTCATATAGTTCAAATCCTCTCTAAATAACTTATGATACCCAATACCATATAAATGCTATGTAAATAGTTGTTGTATTGTATTATAAAGGAAATCTAACAATAAAAAGTACATATTCATCACAGACACAAATATTTTCCAAATAGTTTTCATCTCTGGTTGAATCCTTGTATTCAAATCCAAGAATATAGAGGTCTGACTATATTTCCCCTCCATTCCTGCCAATTGAGAACTCAGTTCCTTCCTTCCTTCCTTCCTTCCTTCCTTCCTGTGCTGGGGATTGAACCCAGGGCCTTGTGCATGGGAGGCAAGCACTCTATTAATGGGTAGAGTTAGTATCACCAACCCCAAACCCAAATTTCTATCTAAGGATTACATAACATTTTAACAAAGCCTTTCTTGCCCTTATCTTTCTTAATTATTCCAAAAGATGAAAATTGTTGGTAAAGATTTAGAATTAGACAATTGCAGCCTTATAATTTCTCCCCCACTATACCACTAAATCACGCTATATAAGAGTTATCAGTATTACCTATAAGTAGTGTACACTTCATTCCATGGCATTCTCATCAATATTCCTGGTGCCCAATGTAGTGAACCAAGTTTCCAAATCACTAATCAGTGCAAATTCAGTTATGGACTCTATTATAGACTAGTTCATGGGATGTGAAACTAAACACGAGAAAAGGTTGTGTTATGCTCTTTCTGAATGTGCTGATTTGTTTTGAGGTTAACTGTAAACTAGAGAATTCATGTACTAGGCAGTATAATTAAAATTGTACTCCAGGTAACACTGCATCAGAGATCTCTAACATATCTCCAATTCTTTGAGATAACTCAGGTTCTTTGAGTCACTTGTTTGCTTAATTCTAAGTGTTGCAAAGTCTGACATTGTTTCTGACTACTAATAACTATAGAATAATTTCTATACACACAGTTTCTCTAACATGAAACAAGCAATGATATCTTCAAGAGAAACAATGTTAAAGATAAATGTAAGATTAAGTGTAAATATCATTACCACCATCTGCAAAGCCAGTTGCAGTGATAATAGGGATAGCCACCATAATTAGTCCACAGCTGCTCCAAACGTACTTCATTAAGAATTGCTCTATCATGATGTACCACAAACGTTTGGATAAAATAAGGTTCATCTGGTCCGCTAAAGCTTTGTAACTCTTCTGGAGTTGCTTCATTTCTACCTATAGAGAAAAAAAATAAGAATTAACCTAACATACTTATGAAAATAAATACCATATGTGCTTGAGGGCTGTCTTTAATGATAAGAACTTATTATTATTTTGGTTTACTTAGTATAGCATTATCTATGGGCCTTAACAACCAAGAAATACAGATTTATATTATAATTAGTCATTATTATTTAGTTTGGGTTATACTTGGGACTATTAAAATTTTTATGCTATTCAATGAATATAATATTAAGTGTAAAATACATATAACTGGGCTGGGGGTGTATTCAGTAGTAGAGCACTTGCCTAGTATGGATGTGGCCCTAGGCTCAATCTGCAGCAACCCCCTTCCTCAAATGTGTGTGTGTGTGTGTGTGTCCCCACAAAAGTGATTTATCATTATGATTTCAAAATTTAAGCTGTTAAAACTATATTTGTAAGACATGGATAAACAATATTAGAACCATATTATTCTAAAAATAAATACATGACATACATTTATAAACTCCACCTTTTAACTGACTCAGTTTACTGGATTTTGTCTTTTATGCAAGAACCATATAGCACACTATAATATTGTGTTCAATGATTGTGTTCAATGATTCAGGGAGAAGGACAAATCAACATGATTAATATAACATATGAGGCCAATTTTCAAGTGGGAGTAAAGGTCCTAAATTTGTTTCAAAATCTTTTATTTAAATTGGTTCTGCTATTTAAAAATTTTGATAATTTCAGATGTTTTAAAAGCTAAATAATCCTCCTTAATAATTAAAATATCTTCAACTTATTATTTCATTTGCCAAGTCATCTGTATTAAGATTTCAGATGCATCATTTTTAAAATATGTCATATTTAACATCTGAAGTCACTCCCATGCATTAGAAATCTGTGCAATCTGGCTAATTGTTTTAAGGATCTACTTAATGTTGAAAATATTAAATATTTAAAAATATTCTGGAACTTCTTTTTTCCTATTCGTTTCCTAATTTTATTTTTTTAAATAGACAAAATTTAATTTCACTGACTCTTTTAATTTGAGTCAAACTATGTGCTGAACATAAACTAAACATAATAGAAATATTACTTTATAAGAAACTCTTCTGCATTTCTTAGGATGCTCCAAAATTGATCAGACATGCAAAATTATTAAAATTGTCTTCCATATGAAATGTGGTTTTCCCCCCTCTTAAGCAACAAAGGAATGACAATAAAGAAAACCATTCTAAATTTTCCACCTCAATGGAAAGGTATTTACTCTTAGTTTCCAAATATGTATTTTTTTTCACATACTTTAAGGTCGTCTACCAAGTTAGGGTTTAAGTTTTAAGAATGTGTTTTTGAGATATTTGTGTAACTGAAGATATGTAGGCTGTTTCTTAAATGTTGAAATTTTATTCTCATCAAACTTCTAAAAAGTTTGCACTTTATAATTCTTTAACAGCATGCCATTTTAAAAGATAATGAAGTGTATATTTTAATTTAAGTTTAGCAATCACAGAAATCAAAAAGTTTAAGAAAGTGGGTCCAATAGTCATCAGTCAAATATACAACAGATGGTGTAGCACTGCAGTGGCTGATTGAACAGTCTCACATTTCACTCATCACCTTAATTTTTATCTTACCTTATGTCCTCTGTAAAAAGCAATTTCTTCCACATTGGCTATAATTCTGGAGTGCACATACCGCAAATAGCCTTTTCTATGAGCTTCTTCAGCTACCAATTTACCAAATTTGGGAGAGCAAGCCTTCAACACTTTAGCAGTGGCATACACCACAAGTCCTGCTAACAGGGTGGGTCCAATTGGGCTTGCTCCTCTGGACGTAGCAGTCTGGATGAGTGTATAGGAGGTCAGGATTACATCTAAAATAGGTTTGGTCAGGTTGGAATACAAGTGAGCCACAGATTGGGAGAACATCATAATATCCTCAGTAAGAGACTGGTCAGGGTTTGCCAGCCTCCCATCCATATTGATCACCTTATAATAAGTCTGATTTGTAAAATAGGTTTCATAGGCATGGTCTACTAATCGAGTTCTGAAAGCCAAAGCCAATTTGCACTCCAGGTACCTTATTGCACTGTTGACAAAGGTGGCAGGAATGGCAATCATAAGCCACTTGATTAATTTGAGGATGAAAGTCCGAGGCTTCTTTTCCACAATGCTTTTCACGATTTTTCCATCCAGACCAGCCACATAAATAGATAGAAAGGTTCTTGAGATTAGAGCCACCGAGTGGAGGCAGAGCCACCCTGTTTCAGTGGTCACAAGTTTGGGAAAGAGAATTTTCCGAAGTTCTAGTAGCTGTTTGAAAAAATCTGCATTCACTCCAGGCGAAGGTTTTTTACAAATGTTCTCGGTGCAATGCAGTATTTCTCTGTTCTCTGCAGCGGGGTAAGCTTCTTTTTTCCTCCCGTGGCCAGATTGCTTTAAACGCTTGCCAATGACGGGATAGAGGGTTTTCAGCGCATATGCTGCAGCCACCAGGCAGGCAGCCCTCTTAGCAGCACCGGATCTGGTCCATTTCATTCGATCAGCTGCTGCATTTAGCATATGTATCATTTTCCCAGTTACCCAAACCGGCTTCAAAAAGAATTCTTTTTAAAAGATCATACTCCACAGGAACCCCCAGTAGATGTTTCAGAAAGTCCTACAGCATCACATAGTCTGTAGCGTTTTTCCTATACTGTTTTATTTTATTTTATTATTTTGTTCGTCTGTGACATACACAGCAGAGCTCAGACTCCACTGCATCTACTGGGGATGATTCCCTCAGAAGCTTTAGCTGCACGAAGCTCCTCCCTCCCAGGCTCCTCATTGGCTGTGAAGGCGGTGGGACCTTGGAATCCTCGCAGCTTCTCTTGGGAACCTTGAAAAGGAGGAGAAAGCAAGACGAATTACATCTTTAAACAGTTCAGCGAGGGTTAAACGTCTATTTTTGGAGAGGTCGAATCAGGCCAGCTACCCGCGAACAAAACCTGCCCTAGCTACTGAGCATGCTCAGTGTCATTTAGAAACCCGCAGAAGTTTCAGGATATACAGTTCTTCTTTAAGGTTTTTTTTTTTTTTTTTCTCTTCTCTTTTCTTTTCTTTTTTAGATGCCATAAGGGGAAGAGAAAGCAGAAAGACTCACAAAACGAGACAAGGGAAAGTAACCAGGGAGGAGGGATAAGATGATCAATATCTAATTAATATGAAAAGAAGAAAGTGAAGGGGCACTGGTAAAAACAAAGTATCAAATGCAAATACTTGGGAATGTGTTTTGATCTGAAGTGGGGTTTGTTTTTTTGTGTGTGATTTCATGAATGGTCCCAGAACCTAACAGGTAAGTTGTAATTGAGGGTGTTCCTTGTAAATAAATAGAGGGGAAAGTCTTCTGTATTACAGAAAATAATTCTTTCTTATACTTCTAGATCTTCTCCTTTTTTTTCCACTCCAGATCTATGTTTACTTGTCATATAATAAAAATCTTCCTGCTCCATAACTGTTATTTTTAACAAGGGAAATCAGATGCACTCTTATTTATTTACAAGATGATTATTAAATGAGATTAACGTCTCATTTCTCCCACTCCCTTGTGTTTTCACTTGGGTATATGTAGCTCTATAATCAAAATTTTTTGCTATAACCAAATTTCATTTGTGAATCCAACTGGAATTGGGTAATAGAAAAAGCTTCTGTAGGATCTTACTTCACTTTTCAAGAATTGGTGTTTTTTTGTAAGTTTTCGTTGTGTTGGTCTCTTTAGACTTAGAGGTAATATTCTGGCTACTTCTTATTTCCATTTGATTATTTGATAAAAATCAAGAGTGTCTAAAAAAAAATTCTTCACATCCTAAAGGAGGATATAGAGGATATAAACTTCTCAATAGGCAAGCAAGATTTTGCACAATTTAAAAATCCCAAAGGGCATTTTTTTTTAGGTGGGGGAGGCTAAGTGTATATTTTAATGCCAGAAAGTAATTTTTTGCCTCTCTCCATCTCACTCACAACATAGACACTTTCAACTGAAAGCTTGGGAAGACAGACATTTAAGCTAGAACAGAGCTTGGCAAATTATGATCAGTGGGCCAATTTCAGCCTGGTATTTATTTTTATATGACCAGTAAGCTAAGAATGATTTTATATTTTACATGCTAAGCAAGTGCTCTGCCACTCAGCTACAGCCCTAGCCCCAAATATTTTTAGTTGTAGATGGACATGATATCTTATTTTGTTTATTTATTTTTATATGGTGCCGGGGATCAAACCCAGTGCCTCACAAGTGCTAGGCGAGTGCTTTACCACTGAGCGATTTTATATTTTAAATGGTTGAAAATATACCAAAAAAAGAATATTTTTGTGATGATAAAATTATATGAAATTTTTATTTCCATATCCATAATGAAGTTTTATTGGAACACAGTCAAATTCATTTACCGTCTTCTTTTAAGCCATAGTGGCAGAGTTGAATGGATTCAACAGAGACTAAAATATTTACTGTCTTGCCTTGATAAAATTTTGAAAATTTCTGTTCTAGAATACAAAACCTGTCTCGATGTTAAATGATCTTCATATTTCAGTTTATAATGAACTATCCTCATTTTTATAAGTAACAATATTCTCAAACTTTTAAATCTCTTTGTTATATGATTATATTAATTCCAAGACTCATTACATATATTTTCATTTGTTTACTTTAAATTCAGCAAACTTATTAACGTATGAATGACAGTTTCATACAAACTTCATATGAATATATTCGATATTATCAGCACACTCGATCATTCTATTAAGAATTTCTAAACCTGTATATAAAGATCAAAGGGCCATAGTGGTTATTGTCAAAATCTATTCTTTCTCAGATCATGCTTTTGGTGTACACAAAATAAGACCGCCTTATATTTTTAAATTTTAATAATTTATGTTCATCTCCTGACAGCTAAACACAGAAGGGTTAACTATAACAGGTTGGAGGCCAGGGTAAATCTATCTGGGGGTGATGGCAGGATGTTTAGTCAGGCAGAACAGGTACACAGAAGGATGACTGGGTTAGACAACAGCTGGTAGTCAAGACAAGTGGCTTACATCACTGGCAAACCACCAGGGGCAGCCATATGGGGAAGAAGGAGCAGGGTGGGAATCCAGAAGCAAAGAACACTAAAGATCCAAGCAGGACAGCTCTTAGCTGTAGGTAGGTCAGTTTACCAACTAATGATGAGCCTGGAGTACATAAACAAGCTCTGAAGGCCTGGGGTGAGAATTTGCTGAATGAAGAATCAAATATGAGGAAAGAGACCAAGATAAAAATTTAGTTACAAGAATTACGGTACAAAGAAGGTTGAGAGGCACTTAGTACAACTGTGGAGGTCAATGTGAGTTTTAACTTGATATTGAGCTCCTTAAGTACAGATCTAACTATAATAATGTAAATTTCATCCCTACTGTTCTTTCTATACTGCTCCAAAGGTCAGAGCCTAAGATCTGAGATTAGGTTCAAGGTTTCAGATAAAGCAAAGGAAGGATTCAAGATGAGAAGTAATGATATAGGCAATCAGAGGAGGAAATATAGTCCTGCTCCACATAATAAAGTTTTGGTCAACATTGGACCAGATATACAACAGTGGTCCCATACGATCCTAATGGAGTTGAAATACTCCTATAACCAAGTGACATCATAGCCTTTGTAATGTCACAGAACAATGCAATGCATTACTCACCTGTTTATGGCAATGCAATTTTAAACAAACCTACTGTGCAGCCAGATAAAAATATAGCACATATAATCATGTACAGTACATAACAGTTGATAGTGATAATAAATGATTATGTTACTGGCTTATGTATTTACTATACTAAACTTTTTATAATTAGAGTGTACTCTTTCTAATTATAAAATAATGTTTGTTGTAAAGCCATGTGCCATATTATTATACCTCATGCATTTCAGGCCTCATGTGCAGCCTCATGAATATCAGGTTTAATGTGGCTCAAGAGGTCACACAAAGTGATCTACCGACACCATCTAGTTTTGTGTAAATGCACTCTGTGATATTTTCATGATGACAACACCATCTAAGATGCATTTCTCAATGTATTCCCACCATTAAGTGACATAGGACTTTAAAAAGTTAAGATGGTTAGAGTGATTCTTTTATCTTTTTTTTTTATACTGGCAATATGAATTAAAGCAAAGAGAATGTTACTTAAGTTTGAATTCCAAACTAGGAGAAAAAAAAGAAGTAAAAAAAATCCCTTATTATTGTATTAAACGTATTAAGTTTAATTTCTACGCAAGCTTCTCACTTTATGTATTTTGATATGGGAAAATATTAAAAATTTCTTGGGAAATAATCTTAGAAAAAGAGCTTGAAATGAATTCTAAAAATATTTAAAGCAATGATTCTCTAATTACTACTCTGCTTATAATATAATATTCTCATGGCCATCACCAATATCCATCCAAGAGTAGGATTAGATTTTACATGTATATATAGAATAATATTTATTAGGAAATAAATAAATAAATATACATACACACATTTTATAAATTGTAAAACCTCAGAATTTTTTGGTAATAAGTAAAACAACATAAATGAATATATTATATAGATTATGTATGAATTATATTTTACATTGCAAATCACCAGAAAGTAATTTTTATAAATAGGTAAGGATAAATTGTTTAAGTTTTAATAATTTTGAATGAATTTCATTCACAACAAATGCTGAATAGTATTTCATCTCCATTGCATTGTTATCTTGAACTGATTCCTGACCCAAGAGATTACCTAATTGCTCTACTGACCCTAAAATAGTACAGTGTTTGATCCTTATTATCTATCAGTCATTCTATCTTAGTCATGGAGGCATAAACAACATTGCAGATGAGATCTTCAGTCAATATTTCAGTATTACACACAACTACCTAATACCTTGTTCCTAAAGAAATGTCTTTTGCTTAAAGAAAAACTCAGTAAATAGCTATCTGAACATGTATCCCATAGATTAATCTTTCTTTAGCCTAATTTACCATTTCTACTGCCTCTTTGTGACTGGGAGGAAAGCAATAACTCTAGAGGGAGAAGAAATGGTTCATTCCAGCTCAGTTCTTTACTCCTCTTAAAAATTAGTCAATTTCCCCTTTATGTCCTTTCACAAACAATAAAAGGAAAAAAAGAAAGAAAAGGAAGGACAGAAGCAAGTCATATTTCCTTTAGAAAATTATTTCCCCTTCTAATTAATTTAGTCAACAAGTTTAGAATGCTAAAAGTACAAAAGGCAGATATATAGGACTATTGTTCCTGCCTTGAGTGTAGGGTTTAGTTCCTGAAAACCAACAGCCACTCTGTGCAGAGGAGTACTTCTCTGAAATGTTGAATTCATCTGATCTAGTCAGTCACAGATATACTTTGGTGAGTTTTTGTTATAAAAGTCAGGATTTACATTATTAAACAAGATGTCTATTCTGAGACATAATACAATTCCAGGTACTATTTCCCTACTACTTAACAGAAAAAGTATTACATCATGAGATCTTCTACAGGTTACACTCTGGAGAAAAGCATCATGGCAACTGAAAAAATTCTTTGTGCATTTATTTGGGATAAGATATTTAATTTCAAAGCATATTATTATAGAACAGTTTGTAAGGTATGTGTTTTGTGGAGACTATACAAACAATAGAATGAACAGCAAAATCCAATTTCTGTTTTGGGATTTTTTTTTCCCCCCTTAATACGAAATTTAAAGTCTTTGGTCCTTCATAGCTAAATTAATTTGTGATGGAGCTCTTTAAAAAACCCAACACTCACAAAATGTAAAATAGTATATTACTACAGTGCAATGTTTCTGATAACTGTTTATTAAATATTAAAACTGTGCATTAGAAATATATAAAGGATTTGGGTGTGGAATAACAAATCAGAACAGAAAACATCATTTTGGGGGGTTTGGATATCGTTAACCTCGTCGTTTTATTTCCTGAATCTGGTCTC